TAAAAGTACAATACCTCAAGATTTCCATAAATGGTATGAACAGTTCATGTAAACTAGTGGCATCGTTGTTGCATATATGATCATATATTTATAATTTTAACTATAGCATGATTTAAACTAGTAAAATAAATGATCTCATTAAACAAAAAATTTACATGAAAAATTGTTAAAATCATTTATTACCTCCAAATTAAATCTAAAATATCTAAAATAAATTTTACAAATAGTTAACGTTACTGCAAAAAGATCAAAACATTATTAAAAAAGCAATAATAATCTAAAGGAACTGAGTCATAGTTGAAAATTGTATTGGCAACGTACAAACTCTATACCTCAGAACTGTTTTGCACAAACTGTGAACAGATCTGAGGTGTTGCGTTTGTACTGACAGCATTTGTGTCTATCTCAGTCTTGATCGACTCTTTATGCCTTAAACTCTCAAACCAACCCTTTTGACAGCTGAGCTTGTTGTTGCTGTTGTTGTTGATGCTGCTGCTGTTATCGTCATTGCAGTCTTTGTTAGGCTTGATGTTGTTGCTGTAGTTGTTGATGCTGCAACTGTTATGGTCGTTGCTGTCTTTGACACAGCATTCAAATTATTTTTGCCTGCTACCTGCTTCTTCGCATACTCTGGATGCAATTGCCACCGGTCATATGCAACACAAAAAAAAACATTAGAAGTTGCAAAAATAGGTAACTTATTAGTAAGATTATATAAAGAAGAATATGAAATATAGAAAGAGTATTATAGAAATTGCAACAAAGTATTGCAACAGTATCGTTTTGTTTAAGGTTAGATATAGAATTGCAACAAATAATTATATTAGAAACTAGATGAACAATTCATACTTACCTGTTTGACTTGATGCAGCGACACAGCACAACGCAACGACCATACATTTTCAATACAAACAGTGATATACAAACAGTGAACTGCAGACGAAGGCAAAAGCGCGTGACTCTGCCGGGTTGAGCTGGTGATGTCTAACAGTGCTGCCAACTTAAAATCGAAGCGCAAAAGATTCGGCGCCGATTAGACACCTTCTTGCCGCTGCGCTCACATAAGACACGTTCTTGCCGCTGAGCGCCACTAAGCACTCGCTATGCTGTCGCCCGCGATTAAGGCATGTTTTTGCCTCTCGACTTTATTAGTGCGGTTTTTGCGCTGGGGCGACGATATTAGGTCTCTGCGAGAAGTATTACCACGCTCGCACAAATTGCAATAAGAGCTTTCCGATTCCAGATCTTTTGTGAGTCATAACTTGAACTCCTCTACCTTTTCCCCCTTGGGGTTATGGTTATTGGTTCTCATTTAGAACTGTATACGGTGAAAAAATACTTTCTTTACAGACTTTACCGAAATGTTTTTAAAACATTTAAATTTAAAACATTGAAAGCTCTACAATAATTTTAAACGTTTTTGAAGCCTTATATTCAAACTCTAAAAGGTTATTTTGGCATAAATATATCGCGAAAGATTGTAAAAATGATAAAATTTCACCTACTAATAATTATACAATCGAACGAACTTGGTGAAGTTCGATTACAATTGTATGAACGCCTCCTCCGAAAGATCAACTTGTAGTTCCCCTCCCGGTTGCCCAAGTTCTACACGTTCGTAGCACAAAAAAAACTCGCTCTAGCGTCCGCCACCAATACCGCTCGGCGCTGCCGCATACTTCATTCTTTTTCAAAGCCACCGTAAATATCCTAGGGACTTAAAGATGGATATAGGGTGGGCATGGATCTTCCGCAGGAGGCGTTCATACAATTGTAATCGAACTTCACCAAGTTCGTTCGATTGTATAGTTGTATTTCACGTCTCGTCCGAAAGATCAACTTGTAGATGTTTACAGCAATCTATGGTTGCTTAATTTTATAAAAATAATAGCAGCATTTCTTTAATAAAATTGATAGTACAAGTGAAAAATACTCTTACACATAAATTGAGCATATTACTGATTAAGTAATCGATTTATTTTTCGACTGATTTAAAATTGCCATCGCAAAACTGGATTGATCTGTTATAATGTCTCTATTATAATACTTCGCAAATGTATCCGATTTTTCAGACCACCCTGCTGACCTTAAAATTATATCCATGTTAACTTCCAACCGCCTCGCTGCAGAGTTGGACGCATGTCTAGTACTGTGGGCAGAAAATATGGATGTGTCGATCTTACAACTTTCGAAATCGTCTTTCACCCAATTACTGAGTGTCTGTTTACACACCGATTTAGTCGGTAAATTTATTAATAAAAATAATTCTTTTATAGAACCTCGTAGCATATCTGTCTTATCCATATAATCTTGCAACGCAGTTGCTGGACATATTTTCAAATTATTTCTGTAAAATAGTAAAATTAACAATTGTTGATATCCCGTGTAAAAAAAAAAGTATGGCAAAAGTGCCGCAAAGGTCTGGCATAGTTGTCTGGCCAAAGTCTCGCTTTGGCCACTAGGCCATACTTTTGTGCAGATTTGCGCGCATCAAAAATCGAGGTTGAAAACTTCAAACCTGCGATTTTCTCGGGCAAAAGGTCGACTTGAGAGTCTGGCGAAATCAACCAGACTCGCTTCTTGACCATTACCGTGAAAATACGAAATTTAGTGTGGTCTGTTGATTTTCTCCAGACTATCCAGCAGACTTTTTTCTCGGGAAAATCGTGAATTTGAAGAAGTCTGGCAAAACTCGCCAGACTCGTACCATGACCAATAGCCGCATAAATAGAATTTTTTTCGTCTGGCGAATTTTGCTAGACTTCTTCAAATTCACGATTTTCTCGGGCAAAAGGTCCACTTGAGAGTTTGGCGAAATCAACCAGACTCGCACCCTGACCATTACCGTGAAAATACGATATTTAGTGTGGTCCGTCGATTCTCATCAGACAGTCTCGCGAAATGCGAGCGTAAAATAACTTACCATGCGTTGTAATAATTTTTATTATTATTAAAAAAATGAAAGAAAACCCACACATTACAGGGATTTAATGTCGTTATTCTTTTTCTATATTATTACATTTTTGGATTACATAAATATTATCATTAATTATCATTTTAAATAGTACACATTCAATATTTGTTAATTCTACAGCTATTAAATTATTTGTAATTTTACATTCTTGTATGAATGGTATTTTTTTTTCAATTGAATAAAAATAATACGGTTGCTTAGTGGAAAACTTATTGATAATGGCGTAGTTCTTACAGTCAGCCCCATAACACACTTCACATTTACAAGCGAATTCACACTTGCATATTTTTATAAACATTTTAATGCTTCCTACGTGAAGAGATCCATTCAACCAATACTGAATTGTCGAGGAGCTAGTTTTCTTTTTACGAGAATACATTTCGGAGTCAATGTACATGTTATTTATGAGTATCCGGTAAAAAGAAAATAATTTATCGTTATCATTTATATAATTACTTAAACAATCAATAATAATTGGAGTGATGTTTTTTTGATTGCTTGATCCTACCATGTTTAAATTTTCACCAATTTTTTTTGTTTTTAACCGAGATTTCGAATCTAATTGATTGCAAAATTCACTGACAGAATTATGATTTCTCAAGTACTTTTTTTTTAATTCATAATAGCTTAAAAACAATGAAGTAGTTGAACAAATTTGCAATTCCGCATATTTTGTTCCATGCGCCAAAGATATCAAGACGCCGTTGAAATTTTCAAAGCGAAAGCAAGAAGTGGTCCATAATGGTCCGAATCTTCTAACTACCTCAGGTAAGTGCAATAGCAAATGTACATTGCAGGTCATAAATTCTTCGGCATATAAGGAATCAAATTGCGATACAAACTCATTCAACATAATTCGTGCATCGAGTCTTTCACTTTCAGAAATGCTTTCTTTACACAATAAATGAATACTAAAAACTAATAATGAAAGATGTTGAAAATAGTCTGGACTCATAATATCATGTAATATCGGTAAACAATAAATTAAGAGGAAAAGTTTAAGCTCGCTCGCTTTCCAGTAGGCAATATCTGTAACATTTCGCGGTAATCTGACTGTAGAATACGGTGGACGAATTTTGAGAAGGCGTGCATTTACTATTGAAACATAATGATTTATTGAAAAATATTGGTCATGATATGTAGAGTCAAACCAGAGAGAGCAAAGCTTTTTTGTGATGCCAATAAACACAATGTGCATAACATCAATCGATGTTGTTTCAATGTACTTATAGACTAATTTGGAAATCATGCAGTAACCTTTGACGCCAAACACACTTCTATTTTCATTCAAAGCTATCGCGGCGTGCTCTAAATTCTCATTTGTTGAGCGGAGCTCTGCACTTTGATTTTTAGGATAAATGATAACATTATCATTTTCATTCCTTTTTTTACCTCGCTGCTTACAAAATTGACAACCGTAATAACCGTTATATTGTTTCATCTTCAGAAAAAAAGCTTTTGCCGGTAAATCACACGTACCACACATTACTATACCACGAATTTTAATTTGATTTTCGCCAGTTCCTAATAAAATACCTTTATACAACTATTTCAAATCTTTTTTTATCCCACTCAAAAAAGTATTGGTTTCGGGTTTTGTAGCGCCAAACCAGAGTCCTGCAAGGATCATATTTTCGCGGGCAGAGCGATGTGCATACGGCAATTCATTTATAACTAAATACAGAGGCCAAATACTTAATTTTGACGATTTATATAGAGGGACACCATCAGAATTCCATGTAAATTAAATGTTTGACCCCGATAAAAATCCAGAGTCAACCAATTCATTGTACATGCATCCATCATAGATATCCTCATAATTATTAATATTTTTTTTATTGCGCAAAAATCGATGCTTTAGTAATTATCGAAAACCCGGACGATTAAAAAATCGATTAAGCTTCTCTATTATGGAAACGGTCATAAAATAATTTTTTCCGTAATCTGTTCGCAATAAACACACATGCCATCATTTTCAACAATTTTAAAACATTCTGAACAATAATAATTTTTCACTATGGGGGTCTTAATCGTACTAAATAATTTTCTAAATTTATACATGGTTTTGACGCAGAGATTCGGTTGAGGGCAATGTATAGCTATTAGTGATAAAATTTTCGAAAATAATACCCCAGTTAATTTGAAGCGCAGCAATAATGATAATAACATCAAAATGTGTTCCGATAAGGTGATAGGAGCATTTTGATGGAGAGGTGAGTTGCCGTCAGGTATGGAATATAACGTATCGTCATCATCACCACTCTCTTCTCCTTCGGTGTCTGAAAATTCACTTGTTTCTGAACTGCTTTCCGAATTTGACGAAGATTCAGAATCTTCTTCTTCATCGTCGTCGTCTGCTACACCGTCATCTCGTTCGTCAGGTTCATCGTCTGCTTCACCGTCATCTCGTTCGTCAGATTCATCGTCTGCTTCACCGTCATATCGTCCGTCCGATTCATCGTCTGCTACACCGTCATGTCGTCCGTCCGATTCATCGTCTGGCACACCGTCATCTCGTCGGTTCGTTTCATCGTCTACTACATCTCCATCACGTCCATCCGATTCTTCATCAGCTTCGACGTTATCAGGATCAGATTCCACATTATCTATTATTTTTCATACAAATATTCATAAGCATGCAATTCAAAGATAATGGGACATAATTCGACAATGAAAAGATCGAAAAAGAAAATAATACATGTAAACTAAACAGCGCAGTAGAGTTCAGAGCCTCGCACGGACGAGACACGAGACAGGAGCGAAACTCGTGCAAGCGAGAGTCGAGCGCAACCTACGCGAACGAGAAATGTTCGAGAAAAGCCGGAGCAGACTACAGAGCGCTCGGTGGTGAAGCTGAGTTCGAGTAATGAGCAAGCGATATACGAGCGAGATGAGCGGCTATGAGTGAGTAATACGGACGCGAAAGATTAGCGAGAAAAGCATTAAGAGGACACTAATTGTACCGTGATGCATCCGCATGCTCGATAAAGATACGATGCGAGCGATAGGCGAGCGAGCACATCAAGCGGGCGAAAGCTGACCGATAGAATAGTGAGAAAAGCTCGCGTAGACGGTAGGGTTGCGTTTGTGTGCTGCAGCGTTGCACACTTGATCTAAGATTTCTTCTCTCTTTCTCTCTCTGTACTACGACGTATGCGAGGATAATGTATAGAGCAGCTTTTGAATTGCGAGCTTTATCCCGGGGTCAGAGCTCGCTGCTGCAAGCCCCCCGCGTGTAATACACGCAATGCGTAATCTTTTTTAACGAATCGGCCTTTTCTTATTAAACGCGATAGATAGGAGAGGCAACATTTTGGGATATATTTTACGAATGATATAACGTACATAGACGCGCAGCATGGAGAGAGAAAGAGAGACAATCACAAGTGCACTTTGTATTGCATCGGATGAATTTTCAAACGTTACAAGTTTGGTGACGAAGCTGAGTATGAGTTATGAGCAAGCAACAGCCGAGCGAGATGAGCGGCGACGAGTGAGTAAACACGAGCGCGCGGTGGTGAATCTGAATGACCGGTAATGCACATAATAATAATAATAATAATATTAGAACAACGAAATTTCGTATTAGTATAAATCTAATTATTTTATGTGCTTTATCAACTACGTATACTCAAAACCCACTGTCTTGTCGTTCTATGAGGCTTTGCAATGACTCTGTCGAGGTATCCGAAGTGTCACTTTCGTCTGAACTCTCTTGACTACTCTCTCGATCTCTTGTCGAAGCGTTTATTATTTTTCTTATTTTGTATTTTGTGGATCGGTCATAGTTGTTGTAGGAGTTCTTCTGATTGCTCCGTGGGTAAGTCTGCTTGGACTGATCGGTCCGATAACCTGTCGAGTCCTGATAGTTTTTCCGTGCAGATCGTGATGGCCCGCTCGCACTTGCTGTCTGTATTCTGCTTGGATAGCGAGGCGGGCCCTTCAAGTTTTTTGAAGGATGAGCTGCAGCAGTCGTACTTTTCTTGACCAGAGCCTGCACGTCTCTTCCCGTGATATGAGCCTGTTTTTATGTCTCCGACAAATTTTCTCCAAACAGAAATTTCTCATCCGACTTTTATGATGCCAATGTATCCTTAATCGACGCATTAATGATGTCCAGAATTAAACTGCGACGGATAGATGTTTCGTCTTGCATGGTGTCTAAGAATAATCGTGAAGCAGCGCTTGGACATTCCAAGAGAAGTGAAATACGACTTAGACTATATACGATAAGACTTGCTGCGAGTATGACTGCGAGAATTCCTCTTGTCGTCTTTATCGTGCGAAGCACTGCGAGATCTGCTACTATTACGCTAACTATTTCGTGAGCCACTGCGGGAATTCACGCGCGAGCTCCCGGACGAGTCGTCGGAGGTTGTGGTACGCCTCTTTCTTCCTATTTTCCTCAGCTCCTTCTCCACTAGCCTTGATACCTTTCTCCGCGATTTGTCTTTCTTCTTCTCAGATTTCTTCTCCGATCTTCGCTTCTTCGACCAACTAATTTTGTTTCAACTTTTCCTATAAAATAAAGAAATCTTAACCCGCTTGCGCTACGTGTGTTTCCTTTGGCACAAAGGAAAAGAATGAAGCATGCGGCAGCGCCGAGCGGTGTTGGTGGCGGACGCTGGAGTGATTTTTTTTGTGCTACGAACGTGTGGAACTTGGGCAACAGGGAGGGGAACTACAAGTTGATCTTTTAGACGAGGCGTGAAATACAATAATTGTTAATAATTTAAAAAAGTATATCTTATTAATAATATAAAAAGTAGTATTGGGGAATCGTAAGCGATATATATATAGCCAACTCTAAATTTCAAGATGGCGCGCTTATCCCAAGCATTAACATTGAAAGTGTATGGGGACGAATTGAAAATGAATTATTTTTAATATATGCAAATATGATTAAACTCCCAAATTTATTTAAAACAAAGTAAATGTAATGAGAATTCTTAGAAATATTTTTGTACATTTTAATCAACACTCTAGATATTGTTTTTTTTTACTTTAAAATCCGGGCACAGCAGGTACACGGCTGCTTGACATAAAATCGTCTGCTTTTGTGCTCATAGCCTGCTTACATTGACACACTTATACCTAGTGTTTACATTGAAGTATATCTGAGCAGAGCTAAATTATTCAAAAATGTTTATAACATTGAACGACATATACACTTGGGCTGATAGTAATGAAGCCTAGAATAAATATCAAATGGGCGAAAGTGTTTTGGCCTTCAAAAATTTAATTTTGTGTTGTTATACACGATCGAATGACGCGTTTGACATTTCGGCGGCTTGTATTCAATCAAGTCAGATGCGTGAAAAGCCGCATAAAATAACAGGCTGTATTGATTTTAATGGAAAAATAAAAAGTTTTAATTGTGAGTGTTTTGTGGGCGATGCTGCGCAACGTAAACATGTAATGGCTACATTGTTACATTTATCTCTCTATATTATAAGATACTATCGCCGCCATTCGGTGAAATGGTCATATGACGTCATTATCGCCGCCATTCGGTGGAATGGTCATATGACGTCATTACGCGATGATCACGTGATTCGGTCGAAAAGTCACNGCAATTATTTTCGATCTTTTGCACAGGTGAGTGTTGCAGAATAGTGCCCGAAGTAACATGTAGGTAGTATTAGCTTTTTGAGTTTGGTTATTAATGTGTTGGTCGAATTTCAGCATGTCATCCATTACGACACCCAAATATTTAACTGCTCTCTTGTGAGGGACACGCGTATTTAACTCTATGTCCATTATGTGGAAGTCCCTCCAGTGCCTCCTCGTCGCGGCAGACTTTGATTTCAGCTGCGACCTGAACAGAATTGTTTCGCATTTATTCACGTTGATATATAGTCTCCAAGCTGTATAAATATCTTTTATTCTGTTGAAGAGGTGTTGCAGCGATGTCTTGATTCTCTCGAGGTTTTTGTTTGCTACATATATAATGAGATCATCTGCAAAAGCTATTGAGTAAGTTTTGTTACCGCTGTTCAGGCCACAACTGTTGACAATCTCCGCGGTGAAAAAGTTGAACAAAATTGGCGATAGAACTGTACCTTGTTGCAGGCCCTTGGAGACTATTTGTGGATGTTTGGATGTTCGATTATTCATACTCACAACGAAGCTACGGCTAGCTATTGTGCTCTTGATAAGTTTTATTACTCCGGTAGGAAGCGCCAATTTCTTAAGTTTAAAAATCAAACCTTCGTGCCAGACCGAGTCAAAGGCCTTTCTTAGGTCTATCAAACATGCGCCTATCATATTGTTGTCGTTCAGGTGCCAATGCAGGTCCGCAACTAGTTTGTGTAGAGCATGCACTGTCGAGTGCTTACTCTTGAAACCAAATTGTTGGACGGGGATTATGCTGTCGTTGCTATATTTGCTGAGGAGGGATAGCTTAATTATTTTCTCGAATACTTTGCTTATCGCTGGTAGCAGACTGATGGGGCGCAGGTTGTCCAGATGCGTAGGTTGGTTTCTTTTCTTTTTAAGGATTATCAGTTTTGCTTTTTTCCATGCACTTGGGAAGTAACTGTTGTTCAAGGCATTATTGAGCAGGATGGTATACTTTGCGATGTAGTTCGGGGGTAAGTTCTTTAGTGCAATGTTTGGGATGTTGTCCCAGCCTGTAGATGTTTTGCCTTTCATTTGTTTGATTATTTTATTGATGCGGTTATAACTGGCAAATGTAATGTCTTGATGGCTGAGGTTCGGGTCTAGAGCCGTTAAGTTTTCGTTGAATGTGACAAAGGTATCTAGCGTTGTGAAGGTGTTCGTCAGCTCCGAGTCTCCTTTAAGAATATCCTTTTCGAGCAGTGTGTTGGAGTTGGGGTCCGCCCTGTTAATACCGCCAAAGAATCTGCTTATCACTTCTGTTATTACGGTTTGGTCCGTAATGGAGGTATCACTGTGTCGGTTGAGCGTGCTGGGATCGACTAGGCCTTGGGTGAGTTCATGTTCATGTGGTTTTATTACTATTTCCTTAATTTGCTGGTTATTATTTTTGATGTTGTTTCTAAAGAATCTGTTCAATGACGGAAAAAAGCTTGCCGATTCTTTATAATTGATTTTTTTGATTTGGTTATCCCAGTTATTTTTTGAGGCTTTGTTAAATGCTTCTTCGATTTTTTTCTTGACTATTTTTACTTGGGCTTTGTGATGGTTTATTTGGGCTGTCAGGTTTCGGTCTCTTCTATTGATTAGGCGATGTATTTTTGTCTGAAGCTTATGTTTTGCATTATAGAGTTTTTTAATTTCTGCATTAACTATTGTATTGAGGATATTGAATGGTTTAAACCTAGGGGTACATTTTTCGAGAGCCTCTGTTATGTGGGCTTGAAGAACGTGCAGACCCGAGTCAATCTCCGCGTTTGATAAATTTTTGTCTGCTGGGAATGGAAAGTTTGCGTTGTGCGTAAGCATCCTTTTAAATTTGTTCCAGTTTGTTTTTTTGAAGATTAAGAAATTATCCAAACTTGGCCCGGTATCCTCCGCAAGTTTATGCTGTAGTCTCAGCGTGCACTCGATAGCTAGGTGATCGCTGGCATAAGGGTGCAGTATTAGTTCCTCTGAGTTAAATTCGAGGGCGGCGGACGCTATGGCAAAATCGAGGTGACTTCCGGAGCGTTGGAACGTAGGCTCCGTAGGATATAGAATTTTTAGGGATAGGTTCGATAGCCTGTTTGACCAGTTTTCAATTTGTCTGCCTCTCTGGTTCGAGGCCACGTCTCTCCAGGCGTGGTGTCTTGCATTAAAGTCTCCAATTATGATAAAGGGATTTCCGTCGTCTGAAAGTCTCAGTGTGCTGGCTATTTTAATAAGATCCGGCTCTATGTTGCTTCGAAGAGTTGGTGATGCGTAGATACTTATGATGAAGATTGGGTTGGCGTTTTTTGGAAAAATTTTAATTATGGTGTTTTCTAAAATTTCTGTAGATACCGATGGCATAGGTTTAAATTTTATTTTATTTTTGA